AATAGAGTTTGAGATGCTCTGAGTTTCTTTCTTAGGCTTCCCCTATCTCTCCTGGCTTAATGTTTCTTTTGCAATGGTCATTTTTCTTCTTTGACTTCCCCGGAGAGATTCCATCACAGTGGGGAAAAAATAAACTATTATAATCCTAGTAGGATGTTTACACAGTTAAATAAATGAATAAAATCCCTCCAGAAAAAAAAGAGAAATCTTAGCCTTGTCACTTTGCAACATCTAATCCATTGTGATTGTTGGAGCTTCTCTCTTAATTGTTAGGTGTAGATACAGTAATTAAAAATGTCACCTATCTTTAATGTTGAGATAAGATTAAAGCCCTCCCACACGTATTGTATTGTACTGTATTGTATTGTACTGTATTTATAGCAAAATGCTATAACTATATTATAATTAGGTTGGACAGTAATACAATTTTTGCTGGCCTTTTTGACTTTTGGGAACTGCCGGTTCAGCACCTTGGAAACCTGCTTGGAGTGCAGATTCTGCCTACTTTCTTTACATTCCAATTAATTTGGTCCACAACTCCCATGTTTGCCTCCAAGTCCAATTCAGGATGTTCAGTTTGACCTTTAAAGTCTTACAAGGCATAAAGCCAAGTTATTTGAGAGAGAACCTCTTCCCTATTACAACTACCCATCCCATCAGATCTGGCAGGAAGGCAAGTGGCAGGTCCTATCTCCAAGGGAGGGAGATGATGGGACCTAAGAGATGAGAGTTTTCTGCTGTGGCTTCTGCCCTCTGGACTGTCATCCCTCCTGAGATTAGATTAGCCCCAATCCTTGTGATCTTCCAGAAAGCATTTAATTTTTTTCCCAGCAAACCTGGGGAATGCTGTACTTACGTTTATTGTTTTTAATTGATTTTATGGAAAGTTTTAATTGCTGGTTTTATTATATGCTTTCCAGAATCACTTTATGTGAGATGGGCAACCCTATAAATTTGACAAAATATATAAAAAAATTCTCTGATCTTTCACCATTGAATGGACATATTTTTAGGATACAAGGCTGGCTATTCTTACTGTTGGGTAACTGTAGCCTCCAGGTTAAATAGTAGAATCAGCAAAGGTCTGTCATTGGTGAAGATCAATTTCATTCACAATATGTTTCAGTGCAAATTGAAGTGTCTGTAGCTGATACTGGTTGCGAGACGGAGAGGAATTTTAATTCTGCTGCTGGCCAAGTAGCCAATGCCTGTGAACAGATTGGTGGTGGAAAACCAAGAGGATTTAGTAAATTAGCTGCAATTTACTGAAGTATAGTTCTATAGAAGTATGTTGAACTGAATATTAGCTTTCCTTTTATATTTTTATAAATATACATTTTAAGCATGATTTAATATTGAAACAAACATTTACATGGCATACTTTATTCTTTAAATGATCAAAGACTTTCAAAATAAACTAGCTAACATAAGTCCCCAATCATTTGAAGAAAAATGCAGAACTCATAATGGTTTGACTGGTGGCTTAGAGGTTATTTCATTTCTAGACCACCATCTAGATCAGAGGTGGGGAACTATGGACCCTTTATACTTCTGAACTTCAACTCCCAGAATTCCTGAGCCAGCAGGAATTCTGGGAGTTGAAGTCCACAAGTCATAAAAGGGCCATAGTTCCCCACCCCTGATATAGAAGAATCAGCTGCTGCTGTTTTTGCTTGAGCAAGATTTGCATGAATGATCTTCAACAAATTTTAAAGTACATCCAATTATTATAGTGTTGTGTTCCTATTTCCATCTCTAGTAACCTGGGAATTTAGATAGTGTTCTTACAGTCTTCAAAAATAGTTTCCAGGAATTCTTGAAGAGGAAAGCCAAAGCATTTCAGATTGGCTAATGTATATCTTTACACAGCTCACATTTCTTTCTTCTCTGTCATGGGATGCAAGAAAAAGTCCACACTAACTTAAACACAAAAATCTGGCCAGCTGGTTTTCTTCATTCATCAGAATGCGCACATTTCTATAAAAGATGGCAACTCTCCTGTTGATACCAATATTATCCCAGCATTTATGTATCCTTCTTTCATGTCTTTCCCTAGCTCAGGTCATCTGGTTTTTCCTCAAAAGTTCATCTAATTCACAGCATCACTCAAATACTTCTTCCGTCCTTGTAGGTGGTCTTTTTATATTGTCATTTTCAACAAACTAATTCTTTTATGCTCTCAATTAGATTCCCCTCGTTTCATTTGCTTATTCAGCCAGCTTCCAAAAGGATTTTATTGTGCTTATATTACATAAATAGATGACTTAGAGGACAGGATGGATTGGAAAAATGCAAGCTTTTAGTGCATTCTTGTTTGAATAGAAGAGAATACCTGTAGTTCAGTGTTAAACTGTGGACTTTTTGGTGTCCTATGCTTGGTAGTTTGCTTGCAGATGTTTCATTTCCCAACTAGGTAACAACATCAGTGAGTGAGTGTGGGATTTGTTATCTGTTTATATTCAGTAGCTTGGGTTTTTTATGTAAGTCCATAAACTCAATGATCCATTCATGTTCATAGACAATAATGAAAGACACCTATGGATGTGGATAGCAAGGGCAATATTTGGGAACTTAGATGAATCAGAAAAAATCTTGGATACGGTAGTTGTATTTGGTCAGCAAATACTTAAGTATTCCTTGTCCACTGAGGTTGATGAAACAGTGATGTTTTTTATAATGTGATACATTAATAATACTAATTTCTGCCTTTGAAAGTGACATGAGTCATATGAAAATATTCCAAATCAACATTTATAGTAATCTTCTACGTGCAGAATTTTTAATTGTCAGTTATGGATCTTTTTCTTTTTTTTTAACCATACAAAATTCTAGTATAAAGTATTAATCTGCCTAGACCACTTGGCCATTTCAGTTTTGCACAAGTCCATTGGAATTCCGTGGCTATAATAAATTTAAGTAATGAATACAATAAAAATATAAAAAAAATGTTTATGCAGAGCAAAATGCAAAACAATTCATTTTAATATATTAATACAGAATATGAATCTGCTTTACAACTGATTGCATGGTCATGGCTGGGAATAATGTAAGATGTCACCCCTAAGTATTTCAGCGGTAGGAAGCATTTGTTATTGTTACTGTTATTTAGTGTCAGGATTCAATTTTTAAGAGAACAAATCTATTAAGTTGGCTTATTCCATTTCCAGAGTTGTTGGATATTATTAAAGATACCTTTATTAACTTCATAGTAGAGAAAAATCTCAGTTTATTTGAAATCATGTTTACTTAAAAGAGTGGGCCAAACGCAGTTCTTTTTATAGTGTAATTTATCAATATCATGACTCGCTAGATGGGCCATGTTTAATTTTGCAGTGTAAGTGAAAATGTCATCTTTTCTCTAGCTAAACGGGTAAAAGGTGTTTATATTATATGCATTTAAAAATGTTTACATTGTATGTTCTTTATGGATTTGAATCATTCCGTATGGTTCCATTCCAAAATGAACAGTGATCATTTGGTTTCTTTGAGGTGCAGCTGCTAAAGTAAAGGGTGATTTGCTTAATGCATTATGGGAGAGAAATGCCCAGAAAAACAGTAATTTACTTTGCAGTTCAAGGAATGAAAATATGATCTGTTATGGAATGTATTTTTGGATACAGAGAAAAAACTAAAGAGGCACAACTGTTGGATTCCAGCTTCTGGAATCTGCACTTATATTAAGAAGGAAATTAGAATTCCATATGCATTATTTCTTCAGAAAATTCATTTTGTCAAATGCATGGATGTGTGCTTTTGTATGAAGAATTTGAAAGCTGCCTTCACAGACAAAGAAGTAAACATATGATGATGTTGTAACTGTATAAAATTTGCAGGTTGTATCTTTTTTCCATTCACACTCCATCTTCTCATTTCCATCTGTGCTTTTCATGAATTGCTATTCTTCTTTAGTGACTATTTTCCTGTTTACGAGAATAGATTTTCTGTTTAATAAATGTTGGTGAACTGAAACCCGGATACTCAGGTGCAGTAAAGTTGTTTCAGTATTGCAAGAAAAAAGTGGCACTCATATGCGAAGGGCTGGACCTCCATCCAAAGAAAGAAAGAAAGAATGTATCTGTTACATCATGAGCTCTGTCCCTTGCTTTTTGTGGTCTTTCTATATTTTGCTAAATTAAGGCTTCTGATGAACAGCTACATTGAGAAAATTAGTGTTTGGAAATGCACTGTGCAGTATTTCTCTCCTGATAGGTTAAAATTAGTTTCAACTTGTTGCCCTTAACATAGCACAAACCAAAGTTAACTTTTGCCAAAGTGTCAGTAGTGATTCAAGCTATTTCTTTGACTTTTATGTATTTAATGGAAAATGCAAATGCAACCTCTTGATTTAGCAATCTCAGGCAAAATACTGTGCTTTCTTAATGGCACCGGTGAAACTTTCTTTTTTAGGCCTCTTTTGTAGATTTTTCAATCTGATTGAAGGAACGAAGGTTCAGCACTGATGATATTTCTTATTTAGGAAGAAAGGAAAATATGAACTATGATTCTTCCGGTTTCATATGTAGTCTTTTGCCACCTGCAAATAATCTTAAAGCTCTTGATTTTTTAAAATTTCCTTTACTGGTTACCTTTTTAGGTATGTAGCTTGTCGACTACTAACATTCTTCATTTCTTATAGTTATGCTTTTTTTAAATTGTTCTGAACTTCCAGAAATTACTATGCTTCAAAATAATTGATTCCTCCTTTCTTTCACCCCCTCCCCCTAGTTAGCTGAAGCACTTGCGGGAAGACAGTATTCATATTTGAGTTTTCCTTAAGATTGGTTTCTTCTTCTGCAACTCTTTTACTCTCTACAAAGTTTAATAATTTGCCTCTTAAATGATAAGGATTTATTTGGAGACTGAAAGAGAAAAGCTGCTATTGTTCAGTTTCCCAGATTAATATTCCAACTTTTTTATTATATTGTTTTATATCCCTGAATATAAGGAACAGGAAGTCCTACACCACTTACAGAAATTGTTCTCCTTTTCATGTTCTGCAGGTAACCTTAGGTGGGACCTTTATTGGCATTGGACGCAAAACTCCAGATTGCCAAGGGAACACCAAATATTTCCGCTGCAAGTTCTGCAATTTCACCTACATGGGCAATTCTTCAACTGAGTTGGAACAGCACTTCTTGCAGACCCATCCAAACAAGATCAAGGCCTCCCTTCCTGTCTCTGAAGGCAGCAAAGCCACAGACAGAAACTCGAACAAGTCCAGTCCTACTGTTCGATTGGGTGAGATGGGAGATTTGGGGAAGTGGCAGGACAAGATCACCATCAGATGTGGAGATGACACTCCAGTTGGCTATTCGGTGCCCATCAAGCCCCTTGAATCCTCAAGACAAAACGGTACGGATGCCTCCAGTTACTACTGGTGCAAATTCTGCAGCTTTAGTTGTGAATCCTCCAGCTCTCTCAAACTATTAGAACATTACAGCAAGCACCATGGGGGGAACCAGGCAGGGGGCCCTCACCCAGATCGGAATGACAAGCTCTCAAGGGGGTCAGTCATTAATCACAATGACGTAACCAAAAATGCAGATGAAGAGTTAGCAACAAAGAGCGAGAAGGGCTCTAGCATGGCCAAAAAGAAAGACTTTTCCAGCTCAGGAGTGGAGGACCACGTGGTGACAAGCTACAATTGTCAGTTTTGTGATTTTAGGTACTCAAAGAGCCATGGCCCAAATGTAATAGTGGTGGGACCTCTTCTTCGTCATTATCAGCAGCTACACAACATTCATAAATGTACTATTAAGCACTGTCAGTTTTGTCCCCGAGGCCTCTGTAGTCCAGAAAAGCACCTTGGAGAAATTACTTATCCTTTTGCTTGCAGGAAAAGTAATTGTTCCCATTGTGCTCTCTTGCTCTTGCACTTGTCCCCTGGGATGCCAGGAGGCACCAGAGTCAAGCATCAGTGTCACCAGTGCTCTTTCTCCACCCCTGATGTAGACGTTCTCCTGCTTCATTATGAAACCACACACGAAGCCCAGGTGTCTGAAGTCAAGCAAGAAGCAAATACCCTGCAAGGGGGGGATGGACCACTGACTGTCAAAGAAAGCAAAGAACACTCGTGTACCAAATGTGACTTTGTCACTCAGGTAGAGGAGGACATTTCTCGACACTACAGGTAAAAGTCTGTGTGTGGGCATGTTTGTGTATGAGAGCACATGTGAATTTCTTAACATCTTCCAATTCATGTGGTGAGTCTGGCCTAGAGTGAGTCAGGTGTTTAGCCCATCACCCATCCCCTTTATATAACTGAGAGATGACAATTTATGGATAGTCCAAATAAAGGCCATGTTGTAGAGCATTGGGGTGATGCAGCCCCAATCCAAGGACGTCCGGTAGTATTATCTGATGCAAAAAATTATTCATGTTGCTATCTGTGCCTAGATTTTTATTTATTTTATTTTGATCTTTTTCTATCTGTAAGGCCAGAGCTTTTGCAAGACACTTTACTTTCACAAAAGGAGACAATGTATTTTTTTAAAACACCAATAAATTTTCCAGTGTGTAACTCATACAATAGAATTGGAGATCTTAGGGCAGACTTGTATAAATAAATTGGTCTTGTGGACTTTCTGAAAAGCTTGAAAGTAAAGGGGCATAATGAGACACAGATTCAGGTTCTTATAGACATGAAAACCATGTAGTACAGATTTAATCTCATATCTTTTCATCCTTTAGCTAAGTAATGTATATACACATCTTGGAAATAACCATGTTGTTATGATCCCAAAAATGTATCCATTGACAGTAGCTGTATTTTTATAGAAAAATAAGCCAGAATTAGAGAATTAGCCAGGAACCATAAACTGCAAAGCAGTCTCTGATCTGACAGCCAGTTTATATTTATTTGTATAGTAAGATAAAACTCTTATATTTGGATGATGTCCAAGCCAGCCTTCATCAGATCTTCAATGGGAGTTTAGTGGTGTTGATAGAGCTGGATTATAGAATATGAGTTCAGAATATGGGTTCAGAGTTCTAGATTTGGCAGGGTGAAGTTCTCAGAGAAGTAGGGATACTATGGGTAGCAGAGCTATATTATTGCAGGGAGGAATAGGAAGATAAGATTCTGCTTGCTTCTAGGAAGCATAGAAAGCAATGGCAGCAAACAGCAAGCTGTTGCAAGGCAGATAATAGGAATCCAAGGTTTCTGCCATGTAGCTGTTTAAGAGAAACCAACATAACACACACACACACACACACACACACACACACACACACACGTAGTGAAAGGTATGATTATAAGGTCTATTTGCCTTTCCAAATCATAACATAATGTCCCATATTGTTCAGCAGTCTGTAAATTAAACACCATATGATATGAACATGGTGTAGAACGCTTATCTGATAGCTAATGTTTATTTCCATATAGAATAACTTTATTTTCGATTGCAATTTACTACTATTACTACTTGTTCTTTTCGTTCTCCTCCTCTTCCTCTCTTTTCAAGGATTTTGCCCCCCCCAGTTTTGATTAAATTTGTATGGCCACAGAATTCTCCTAAAGAGAAGAAGGGTTTTACTTGTTTTCTTTTTCTAGACTGACATACCAAGATTTCTTTGCAGTTTATGGTTCCTAGTTATTTCCCTCATTCTGCCTTACTTTTGTATGGAAAAATATAGGTATGTTCCATTTTCAAAGAGTTGTTGAGATTGACCTATCCATTATTTTTTGGGAGGAAGAGGAATTATGCCAAATTGTCTTTCATTTTATATAATAAAATTATTTTTGTTAATGAGATGTTATCTAAAAGAGTCAGTAACAAACAGCTAAACTACTGTGCAAATTACTGTATCACATATAAATAAGTTAATATGATATCAGATACTTTGGTGCTTTCTAGTTTGAAAAATGTATTGCTCATTGTTGGAAGGGAAGGAGAATAGGCATTTTTGCCCAAACAAAGAAACTGGGAACTCATACAACTAGAAAGTAAACATAAAGTTTGATGCCTTGAGAACATGTTTAATGTACACCAAGAAATGAAAGAGAGGATATAATCATCTTAATGTGAGATGATTTGCTTTATCATACAGTTTCCCCTTTTTCAATTGAAATGGCCCACTAGGAGGCAAAAATTAATTATTTAAATATGGTAAGCTTTAAAGATGAATGGCAGCTTTTATATCTTAGGCAGGGTTATAATATATTTTAACAAGGCCAGCTTAGGAAAACATTGAAAAAAGAAAATGCAAACAATTTCTTCTATTTAAATGAAAGTTCTAATATTTTAATTTTTGATATATCTTGGGTGATTGTGAATTGTGGCTGAAAATACTTCCTTGATGTTTTTATTTTGTGTATATGTGTGTTTAAATTAAGATACAGCTTCAGAGGAAATGTTTTTCTTAATTCCATGAAACAGAAATTTAGAAGGTGATGTTCAATTTAGTTCTCTTAGTTATTAAAAAAAACCTGATTGTCATATACTTCCCACTGACGTCAATGGTACATAATGGTATTGAGAGGGGAAAACACATACCACTTGTTTAGGTTCTAAATATGTTTTGGAAAGCTAAAATTGGACTTTTGAGTTAAAAAAAAGTTGGCTAGATTTCTATCAACTTTTTTGGCACAACAAACCAGTATTTATGCATACTCTTTCCCTCTCATATGCTTACATATATTTTACCAAAAAAGCATTTCAAAACTGTTTTTTGAACAGTTATTCTGTAGGATTTATACTGCTACTCTTGTCATTGTTTGTTTCTTTTTATATGTAGCTAAGCATGCTTACTTTCATTTTAGGATAAAATAGGGAACAAAATTATTTTAAGATAGATTAAATATGATAGAAACAGTTAACTGACTCATTTATTGAGCCAAATGATTTCAGTCTGTGTTTTTGGAATTTTTTGTGGGGTTTTTTGAAAAAGAGAGTGAAAGATTAAATTCAAATCTTTGTCGATTGCAAATAATAAAACCATAGCAAATTGAAAATTGACTGCCTTGAGCAGCAAGGAACAGAGGATTTTGTGAGTGTCTTCTCATACCTATGTTTTGCTGACTTCAGTGGGATTTTCTCCAGGTAAATGTATTTGTTTGTGTAGAGAAACATTGGCTTTTTAAAAGTTTTTAGATCATCCTTCCCATTTCTTTAAAGTATTTATGGGAAATAAAATTCAACATTACCTGCAGAACCATAGTTTAAATACAAATGTTGAAGTACGAAACTGGAGCCCTATGCTTAAGGTAAGACTTGCTGAATACAGTTTTACTAAGATAAGATACTCAGTGAAATCTTGTAATAGATTAATTAGTGAAGGACTATTCATGAATATCTGATAAATCAAAGAGTATGTCATCAGTACATGAGCAATGTAAATTGTGCAAGTGATATACATATTTCTGTTTTTACTTATGTATATGATTTATATGTGCCAATGTGCCCACAGTAAAAAAATGGCAATAAAAGGTATCTTATCTCATCTCATTTCACCTCACCTCACCTCACCTCGTCCTGTCTTGTCTTGTCTTATCTTATCTTATCTTATCTTATCTTATCTTACCTTACCTTACCTTACCTTACCTTACCTTACCTTACCTTACCTTACCTTACCACACCACCCATGTCATACAGGTGACTCTGGGCAGTGTACACAATAACTGGTGTCCAAGCATAAAACACTAACCCCACTTAGCACCACTACCAACAGAAAAGAAAATCAACAACAACAGTAGCATAAATTATAGAAGAAAATGGCCACTGATGCAAAGTCTGTTGCATCGAAGTCTGGATGGCATTTATGCTTCACTGATTGTTGAATGCTTTATCTAAGCATGTATGACTGTGCCCAGATGCTGAATTCGGAATGATGTTTAAGTTCTTGTGCCTTCAGAAAGTATTCTCAATATTGTTTTATTTTACCATGCTTCTCATATTTCTCATTCGTTCAGTCAGTTGTTTCTCTGACTTTTGGCAGACTAATGTAAATCTGATATTTCTGATGATGATCAAGAAAGAGCTATTGCCTTGCATCCACTCTT